ACTGGCAGGCCTATTGATTGGAGGGTTGTTTTTTTTCCTAAATGAAGGAAACATAATATGCCTATTATTTAAAAATCAAGGAAAAAAAGAAGTACAAACTCTTCTATCTCTAGAAATCATAAGATTTAATCATTGGGAAGTTAAATCATTTAACTTCAAAGGAACAGTGATGTGTTAAATACTTGCACAGTGCTTATAAGGAATCTATACCAGTTAGGGTCACAAATGCTAGGAAACTACCTTTAAAAAAATAAATAATGTGGCAAACAATTAATCATCAATTAAATTTTCTTCCCTGATTTAAGAAGAGCTTTCGCTTTTCAAATTATTCACGTGTTTTCGAAAAAAAAAAATTAAAAAGTAACATATTAAGAATTTCTTTCAAATGACAGACATATATGCTGAATTCAAGGTGCTGAATTAACAGATATGAGTCAGAAGTTTGTTTACCACTTAGAATTACTACCACAGTACAGCTAACCCGTGTTTCAACATTATCTGAGGCAATAATCTGAAACAGTAATAAAGTTGTTCAATCCTTGCTCTCCCTGTCATGGTATATTATGTTACCCAGATATGGACTAATTTTAAATTCCAATATGTAAGTATCACTAAACAGCTAGAAAGTAGCAGCACTACTTCACTTCCACCCCACCAAAGAGTAATCCTACCCTATCTACTATCTGCACCTTCTCTGATCAATCCTACAGACTCCTCCTTGAATGAGGCACTGTCTTCCCAACCTTGAAGTGCTTCTAGTACTTGCTATTGTAGAATAAAATTAATTTCACAGATCAACTAGAACATGTACAAACTTCCCTCCCTCTTCTCTTCCTTCTCCCGACCAATGCATTACAAAACTTTGGGGAGGGAAGAGAAGCGGTGGCTGGATTACTCCCAGCTGGATCAGTTTTTTTGATCCAACTCACCAGGAACACTAACAGCAATGCAGAATATGGCATGATACAAGTTTAATGCTAGGTCAGTTTAAACCAAAGGCAGAGCTGCACCCTCTGGGCTTCCAAAAACCAAAGGGGATGGTCAGATATTATTTCTGTTCTATAAATTATAGTATAAACCTCAACATTTGCCTTTCACATGCAATACTTTATTAGGGCTGTGCATTCCCAGAGCTAACGGACAAGTACCTACACCAGCCTTAAATAAAAACGTTTAAGTTCTCACTGGCAACTAGGGACAGCTTAGTCTGGAGAGAATGCCAATTTAGCTGCCTTTACATGTAAACTTGAAATACTATGAAAGATTAACAGCTGTATGTACAAATCTCACCAAAAAAAGTACTTGAAATGGGGTTCTTACTGGGCTCTTGCTTGTGATCCCACCATGACAAATTACAACAGCTGCAGAGAAGATACAAGGAATATTTTTATTTTCTTTATTTTTTAATTAGGGAGCTATCTTTCATATGATGAAGAAACCCACAGGTTTATAAATACCTTTTTAAACAATATTAAGAACATAATAATCTTATCACAGAGACAAAAAAAAAAAAACAACATCATCATTTGCTTCTATCTCCTGTACTTCTCAATGTAAAAAGGAAAATCTTTCCAGGGTGACTGGGTTTTACCCATATAAAGGCTTACAGGAAGAAAGAGGTTCCTATTTTTTATTTATTTTTTTTGTGCCTAGAAACGTGCTCCAATTTCATGTTATACGCAAGATGTTTTAAGATGGTAAACTGAAATTATTCCTTCCCCCCTAATTGTTTAGTACAGAATCAGGAGTTGCTCAGATGTGAAGAAATTAGATAAAACCATTTCTATCAGAAAGTATGACTGAATATTATTAGAACTGCTGATAAGATGGCAGTATTCTTTTACTTGCTATCAAATCTGAAGTCATTCTGTTTTCCTAGTCAGCACCTAATTCTTACAATTACTTTCCAATATGACAGTTTATCATCTGACTTACCAACGCAAACCATGGCACAGTTCAAAACCCAGTACCCAAACAATATGCAATATGATTTCTAGCATAAAGGGCCCACTGAAACACAGCGAGAGAGACCAAAAGAACAATTTTGTTGTTATCGTCAAATCATAGTGTCACTACCTCTTCCCACACACCCCATTCTTTTGGGGGGCTGGGAGAAAGACTGGAATTCAAGTGCATTAGGCCAACTATTTAGTTAGATTTGGAGAAAACCATTCTCCATATTAAAGCTCAGTAGAAATATCACCAACTATGATACTAAAAAATTCTGTAATGAAACCTTAATATTTGCTAGCCATAAAACACGTACCAAACACTTTAAAAGGAGAAATTTAGACAGCTAGAAGCTTTTTAACAAAGCATACTCTCCTGTTAAAAAAAACAGAACCCGAGTTCAAAGCTGTTGCAGAAAGCCCTTTCTCCCTCTCCTTACACAGGTTTTAGAAAATCACTAGTAAGTTGCTCACAAAGCAATTCTTTCCATCATACTTTTAATAAACTTTACAATAGTTTTCCCTTCTCCTTAAGAAATAAAACCATCAAAATACAGTAATTAGATTCTTGTCCCAAAGCAGTATGAGCTCTGTATTTTGATCCTCAAAATATGTAACATAATCATAGCAATTGCATATATATTAAGCAAGAAGAGGAAGTTCTACCAGCAAAATCTTTTATACTCACATGCATTTTGTTAATCTTTTCATACCAGGCAGCAGATTTCCCTGAAGTAACATACACCGTCAGCAACAGAGGCACTGAAGCCACAGGTACCAATCAATTTAAAACAGACAGATACAAAATTCCACTGAACCTTGAGCACCATATTAGCACTTGCTTGAATTATTTTCCAATTACATTCATTTTCTTCAATTTTTTGTTTACAGTTATTGAGACCCTGCAAAAATTATGCCTTGATGATAACTGGTATGAACTTTCATTTGAAAAATATGCAGAGTAAGAACATCCCGTAACTCAAGTAGTCAACCACTGCCATTCCCAGGGTCCTAAATTCTAATAATCAATTCAGAGAGAGCAAGGTAGAAAAGAAATGCTGAGAAGTAACATCCCAATGGCATTCATACAGATCAACATAAAATTACGCTGACTCTGGCTCTGTCAGAAGCTCACTGTTAAACTTCCCATATCACTCAAAGTCCACTTTTAGTTCTAACAGCAGCAGAAACATGACATGCACTTTTCTTCCTACAAATTTGAAGTTTTCATTGTCTAAATATCTTTGTATAGTCAAATAATATGAGAAAACGAATCTATACTGTTTGTAAAACAGCTGCTGCACTTGTATACACCAGAAGTCTCAGTGCTCTGTTTTCATAGTTCCTAGGCACCACAAACGAGGTTCAGAATGGTATTGTTCCACATCCCTGGGACTCTTAATTAAGTAATGCAAAATTTAAACAAGTTCTGCAGCCTTACGTGCAACAGACTAAATAGTAAGATGTTACCTACCAGCCAGATATTACTCTAGAGAGGTCTTTTTAAGGAAAAGAAATGTTACATGAGAGTTTTCAAGTTCAGCATTATTCTGTTTAACAGGAGCTCAGTGGCAGTCAGCACTACAGTCGGTAACTACACTCAGTCAGTTGGTAACTACACTCAGCAAACTGCAGAAAATAACATCTTACATTCAACGAGAGTCAAACAAATTACCCATTTGTTATTAAGAACAATGCCTTTAGCTTTTTTTTTTTTTTTTTTTTTTTTTTTTTTTACACTGCGCTTTCCTTTCCAATGCCAAGCCTCAGTCAAACGTTTGAAGCAGGCATTAAACCCGAAGGAGAGGACAATTCGCTGCAGCAGCAGGACCAGCCCGCCTGTGGGCACCGCCGCCGCTCCGCTCCCCCAGGAACCCGGCCGTCGGCCGCTGCTCCCGTTGCCTTGGCACACCGGGGCTCTTCCCAGGAAACCCACCGAGACACCGGACAGACACATTGATCGCTCCAACACCGCTCTCCCCCAGCTCTCACGACCCCGCAAACACACACGTAGGAATGAACTCAAAGGCCAAGGCTGCTGTGGGCAGCCCCTGCTGCGGAGTCCCCAGACCGTATCGATCCGCTCCCTGACCGTTTCGGCCATGTAAACACACGGGGAAAGCC